CTTGCCTTTTGAAAAAACGCCTTTAGGACGGCCACCGAGGAAGGATTTCATCGGAAGAGCAACCTTCCTTCTGCCAGTCTCAGCGGTGAGAAGGTGGAAACGCAGAAGAGATGATGCAGGAAGCCAAAGGAGAAATGGATTTCAACAAGAGTTAAAAGAGCCAAGCGGGGGGAAATCCTAAGGCCACACATGGAGTTGCAAACCCGCCACCACCACCATCTGCCTTCTGCTTCCTGTGTTTGCTGATCACGATCACCCGGGGCGCTTTTGGGGTTTCACTTCCTGCGTTCTCAGAGCTGAGGCTCCAATCTGCAACATTCCTGCTTGCCGATTCTTGTCAGAGTTTCCACTGACTTCTCTTGGCAAGGAGACCCCCTCCCCACTCTGCGGGTTCAGTAACTGACCTCTGGCAGGCAGAGCAGAGCAGAATTTAAATGGTGGTTCTGAATGGCACTTATATATTAGCCTCTCCCGCAATGGCCGCCACATCCCTTTAGTAGTTCAGGAGCAACGATAGCCCTTTTCTCCAGCTTTTACTGAGAAGCTCTTCCCATTCCACACAGCGGAATGGGGCTAGTTTGCTTCTCTTGGCTTATTCTGAAAAATCATCCATGGGGGGAAAACGTTAATAAAAAAGCCCTAGAAGGCCATGAAGAAAGGAATCGGGCTCCCTGAACAGCCTTGCAAAGCACTGTGAAAGTCGGTGACCGAGAAGCGGCCTTGCATGGAGTGCCAGAGTTGGAAGAGCTTTTGGTTAGCCACGTCCTCCTGGCCAGAGCAAAATCCAAATGGAAGGACTCCCGACAGGGTGGTTCTTGCCTCCTGGCCTCCAAATGGTAGAATTTTTGTCTAACTTTCCTAATATTCAGTTGCAATTTGCCTCCATCTTTTCGCCTCCTGCCCTGTGAAAGGAGAGAGAACGTTTTTCCAGTGAGCTGCTGCTGTTGCTTCAGGCCAGAGGCCCAGAGTGACGAACTGCCGTGGCTTCCCTGACCACAAGCCCGGGAGAAAGGACGCCCGGCAGAACCCCGGAGCCGGGGAGGCCCAGCAGGCAACCACAGCTTAGGGCAGAATCCCAGTGAAAGCAGCTGCCCACCTCGGCAGGAAGACCTCTACTGCAGGGCACCTGCTCAAACTATCAGGCAAGGAAAAGGAGCGCAGAGCAAATTTGGATGCTCCAAAACCGAATGAGCAAAGGATGGGCGATGTCAGAATCCAGGCCGAGGCCCAGGCTGCCGGATGATTCCCTGGCCTTGGTTTGGGGGCCTTGGCTTCCAAACCGGACTGGCTGCGCTTGGTTGCCTCCTCATCCCACCGGCACGGCAGCCTGAAAGTGGATTGTGGTTGCAGTGGGGAGGAAGGAGAGCGTCCCACCCCCCAAATGCCCTCGGCTCTGCAGACCTGAATAAGGGGATGGTGGGACGGTGGGGGCACTTCCTCTCCTCTGGCTTTCAATGCTCGTCTCAGGATCTGAGGGCAGCTGACAACAAAGCCTGCCCTAATTTCCCTCCTGAGACCCCCCCACCCCCCAGACCATCTCTGTCTTCACCTCCGGAACCAGAGGTCGTTTTTCTTGAAAGCTTCGGTGTCGCTGAAGTTGAACAAAATCTCCAAACAAAATTAAGTCTCTTTAATTCTACTTTGCAAAATTGCATCAGAAAAGTGTCCTAGCTGGAAATGCATTTGCCAAATCAGAAAATACTCCTGAGGTCATGGATTTTTTAAAAAAAAGTTTAATCGGGATGGGAGACAGGGATACGTTCATCCAGTAAATTAACTATAAACTGGAAGGGAAAATGAGAAGTTTCAGGTAACCTGGTGGATAATACCTTCGATGCCGATTCTGTTGAACTTGCTGGCATAATATAGAGTCAACAACTTATTCCAAGGTTGTAACTTTCATACTATCTTCCATCACAAGGGCAAAAAAACCAAGAATGGTAGCAGCTTCCATCAATCCAGTCACTCCGAATATTTAAGGAAGTGAACTGCAGCAGCTCATGAAGACTGATGTCTTTCTACAGAAGTCCCAAAAGAGGAGTGATTTTCTAGTGCCTAAAACAAGGTACCAAGTAAAGTGAGGAAAATGGGGGTCCTGAAATGAGAGTTGTATATTGTTGACCTGCCAAGTCAGTCAGATGGTAAATTTTGTCAGGCTGAGCAGGAGAGATGCAAGGAGGCCCTAAACCTGCTTGCATGAACCGTTGCAGGACTGGGAAGCTGCCTGGTCATCTCCAAGAACAAGGCGACTGCTCGGCTTCAAGGAACTGGTGGGAGAAACCCTGAGTCTCAAAGAAGCAACCCTACTACTCCTGGGCAGACGGCCCCCTTCCCGACCGCCCCACCTGGGTCGTTGTCCCACCTGGAACAGGCTCAGGTTTCCAGCAGCAGAATCCTTAAGAAGAGCTGTCCTGTGTGATGTAATTCACTGCAATCTTTTAAGCATTTGACAGTGTTTGCTTGAAAGGAGGAGGAACAAGTACATAATTATTGCACTAATTAAGCTGCCAAAACAGAATTCTGCATGGAGCACCTTTGAAATTGTGAGCCCTCAATTCATTAGCATCTGCTATAAGCTTATTAAGCACCTAACAAGCAATTAGCAAGCTGTTACTGTTTGAAACTAGTATGTAAATAAATTCTTGGGTTAATTTCTTCCTCTGATAATAAAGAAAACATTATGAAAATTAACTGACAGTGTAAATTATCTTTTATTTCCTGAAGTCTACTTAGACTTCTGTAAGGCATTTGACAAAGTAGGTCACAAACTACTTCTTGGTAAGGTAGAAAAACGTGAGATAGGTAGCATCACTATCAGATGGATTTGTAACTGGCTGACAAACCATACTCAACGAGTAGTCCTTAATGGTACTACAGCTACCTGGAGGGAAGTAAGCAGTGGGGTACCACAAGGTTCCATCTTAGGCCCAGGACTCTTCAATATCTTCATTAACCACTTAGATGAGGGAATAGAAGGGGAACTTACCAAATTTGCAGATGGTACTAAGCTGGTAGGAGTAGCCAACACCCTAGACCCATTAAGGACTACTCGTATGGTTTGTCAGCCAGTTATAAATTCATCTGATGGTGATGCTATCTATCTCACATTTTTTCCTAGTTCACCAAGAGGTAGGTTGTAGTCTACCTTGTCGAATGCCTTGCTGAAGTCTAAGTATATTACGTCCAAAGCATTTCGCTGGTCTACTAATTTAGTTACTATGTCAAAGAATGAAATAAGATTGGTTTGGCATGATCTGTTTTTAACAAATCCATGCTGGCTTCTAGTTATTACTTTACTGATTTGTAGATATTCGCAGATCTGTTTTTTTATTATCTTTTCCAATATCTTCCCAAGTATTGATGTTAGTTTCCTGTGTCTGGTTTTTTTTCTCCCCTTTTTTGAAGATGGGAACCACATCAGCTCTTTTTCAGTCCTATGTTAGTTCCCTGGTGCTCCAGGATTTTTTTGCGGTATCCCATCTCACCCACCGAAACGGCAGCATGTCATTTCAATAAAGCCCAGGAAAAGTGACACAGAAAATAAACATTTATTGATATGTAGTGTAAAAGGGAGACTAGAAATACATAAATGTCTCCCAGAGAAAAGAGAATGATAATACTTTTAAGTATTAGTACATCAAAATCAGACAATTATTGTTCAGTTATTCAAGTTGCTGAGAACAAGAGCACTTGGTGAACTGGTTACTCTAAGCCTTCCAGAAAAGCAAACGAAGAGGCATTCACTGAAATTACCAGTTTTGAAATCAACCTTCTCCCTACACATTCTGAGCCCACCCAACCTCTGCACAGGTTAACTTTCCCCATTTCCTTTTCTCTGTTTACAATCAGCTGCAATTCCTATTGCCTCAGAAAAATGGCAATAGAGCCCGCGGTCCATTGCAGCCCAACACCCTCTAGTTCTCTGTGCCTGGAAGGTCTTTGCACGTAGGCAAAGGGCAGGAATGCCCAATTGCCTGGAAATCCAGGCCTTTGTGTTTGACCAGCACCCTAGACGGCAGAGTCAACTGTCAGTTTGTTGAAGCAGCACCACCGCCAATCTCCAATTAAGGTGCTCGTGGCAAGAGTGACTTGCCAATCAAGGAGCCATCTTCAGAAGTCCACCAGGACAACATTCGGTCTTAGCACAGATACAGGGTGGCTTTGCAATTATTTAAGATCATGCTCGTCTTCAGACGCTTAACATCAGTAACTGGCATTTTTGAAGCAATCTGCTTTTAATATTTCCATGTAAAAAGGTGGATTTTTTTCCCAGAAACCCAGAACGCCATATATCTGCTTTTGGAACTATTCGAGAGTTACTTAAAAAAGCAACTCCAAGCTTTCCAGTCCTTTATATTTATTCCTAAAACACATTAACATCTATCCCAAGTTAATCTTCTCACCAAAAGGCTTTTCCTACATAAATAATACCCTTTATAGTGGATTATCATACATAATTTACAAAATACTGTATTTTAAGATGCTGCTATTAATCAGCTTAGCATAAAATCAAAGAATTTGCACAATTGGGGCCCATTGTTTGAATCCCATTGGCACAAGCTAAGGCACAGGCCTCCCAGCAGGAGCAGTTCCCCCACAGGAAGGAAGGAAGGAAGGAAGGAAGGAAGGAAGGAAGGAAGGAAGG